GATTAATTTAACAGTGCAAGAGCTGCCCGCCAAGCTATTTGCAATATTGTTAAGGATTCGTTAGTTATTTTCCCTTACTTCAAATGCACATTTGCTAATATCTTTATCTCGTTGATGTGAGGCAGGCCGGAACTTTGCAGGCAGGTTTTGTTTTGCTTTTGTTGGCAAAGGCACTTCATATTAAAAAAAATAATGAAAGCATTTAAACCTGGAGTGCTTATGGCAGAGCTGGAAAAAGGTGTAGAAGGGGGCAACAAGAATGACTGGGGTGAGTGGAGTAGGTTCAGAGCATGATACAGCTGGACTACAACTTCCATGATCCCTGACCATTGGCCATGCTAGCTGGGGCTCATGGGAGTTGGAGTCCAAACTTTTTGCTTCGTTTTGAGAAAAAAACTAGGGGGGTGCGCGCGATGGCTTGACACAATTTTATAACACTGTGGATGGAGTGGAGAAGGCAAATGCTCATGAATAACCTTTTTTAAAAAAACCATTTTAACATTTATTTATATATCACATTTCCTCCAAGGAGCTTGAGGTGGTGTACAGCGTTCTTCAACTGGTCCAGCTCCGAGACCCACCAAGTGACTCCCAAGCTGCAATTTGGGACTCACACATTAATTAATCCTAAAATGGAAATTCAAAGAGCAATATGCATAGCGTTGTTGTTACCTCAGCATTATCACTAAACGAAAACCAGTCCAGCATTCTGGCAGAAGCAAGACACGAGTGTGTGGTTGGCCAGGAACTCTGTCTCTTACTGAAAAATGGCTCTTGCCTTTCTCTGTCCACATTGAAGCACTTGTGGAAATTTATAAAACGGGCACCTTGTCCGTAGAACATGTCCTAGTCCAGATACACATGCCCCTTCAGTCTGCTTAGCCTAACCTGGAATCCAACATGGTGGCAACAGCTGTGCTTCAGCCCACCATGTGTGACCAGGTGACCCACTGGCTGAAGATCTGTGGTGTAGGCAGTACAGTAACCTGACTCTATCCAAAACAGTTTCCTATCTTTGCTGGGTCCCCCACTTTCCTTCCCCCCAACAATAATTCAGCATTCTGAGGCTACTGAGCATGCTCAGCCCCCATTGGGATATTTTAGGGTGATTGTTCTTTATTATTCTTTATTCATGTTCTTACCTGCCCTTCTTACCTGCCCTTCAAGTTGAGGTCCCAGGGGTGGATTACAAGCATTTAAAATGCAATATTAAAATCAGTTAAGTTACACTTAAGAGCATAGGATGGGGGTCCTACATCTGTGTACAGTCATACTTTGGGTTACAGACGCTTCAGGTTGCGTTTTTTCGGGTTGTGGACCACCGAAACCCGAAAGTACCAGAACGGGTTACTTCTGGGTTTCAGCGGTCGCGCATGTGCAGAAGCGCTAAATCGCGCTTTGCGCATGCACGCTGAATTGCAGCCCGCGCATGTGCAGCCACGCTGCTGCGGGGTGCGAATGTGCATCCTGAATGGATCACGTTCGCAACCCGCGCGTCCACTGTACTGCTTTGACACAAATTGTGAAAAGAGCTATAGAAATCTTCAAATAAATAAAATCAATAAAATGTCTCAATATCCAGTAGTGTGGTGGCAAATTCAGAAGTGCAGGGTCCCTTCATGATAGTCACAGTCATGCCACCACATAGCCCCCTCACCCCTTCTAAAAGTCTAGAGTTTATAGAGGAAAGTTTTCACCGGGTGCCTAAAGATATGTAATGAAGGTGCCAGGTGAGCCTTCCTGGGGAGAGCATCCCAGAAACGGGGAGCCACTGCAGAAGAGGCCTGCTCTTGTGCTGCCACCCTCTGGACCTCTCATGGAGGAGGCACACAATAAAACAGTCGTAGCAGCTTTATCACCAGTGGTACCTTAGGTTACAGACGCTTCAGGTTACAGACTCTCCTAGTACCTAATAGTACCTAATCGCGTGGTGGCAGTGGGAGGCCCCACCGCCGTTTACCTTCCCACCGGAGGCCGTTTACCTTCCCACCAGAGTGGTACCTATTTATCTACTTGCACTTTAACGTGCTTTCGAACTGCTAGGTTGGCAGGAGCAGGGACTGAGCAACGGGAGCTCACCCCGTCGCGGGGATTTGAACTGCCGACCTCCTGACCGGCAAGTCCTAGACTCTGTGGTTTAACCCACAGCGCCACCTGGGTCCCTTTGAGGTACCACTGTACAGAGTCCCAGTTACAAAGCTGGACATTGTAAGTGAGATAGGGTGCTCCTCTTGCGCTGTTTGGGGGCCCATGTTGGTCCTCTGGCAGCGGCAGCGGGAGGCCCCATTAGCTAAAGTGGTACCTCAGGTTAAGAATAGTTTCAGGTTAAGAATGGACCTCCGGAACGAATTAAGTTCTTAACCCGAGGTACCACTGTAATGGAGTCTTCCTAAATGCATGTTTAGACCAATAGTGGGCCCTACATTTGAAAAGCTCAGAAGCCCAAAGAACGCAACATTTTTATTAATTTCTCACTCTTTGCTGTGTACGCTTTGTTTTTTTTTTTAAATGATATTTATTAAAGTTTCACAAAAATACAGAAAACAAAGAAAAAAGTATAAATTACAGCAAAAAAGTAAAAAGTAAGAAAAAACATACAAAATAAAACAGTTAAAAACACAATAATATTCCATAACCTATCTTCCTTACTCTTATTTCCCCAGACCTCCTCATACCTCCCTTCTTTGTATTCCAATTCAGTTTGTTGGTTCAGCAAATCCTTACCATTAATCTTTTACCCAATTGTTAACCTTTTTTTCCCCATGTCTCTTAAAGCATTACAGCTAAAAACCTCTTAATTTCTATCCAACATCCTTCTAAAGTTCCTTAATTTTACAATATTTCTGTAAATAGTCCTTAAATTTTTTCCAGTCTTCTTTCACCGACTCTTCTCCCTGGTCTCGGATTCTGCCTGTGTACGCTTTGTCTTACTTCAGCCTGCTTTTCCCGCTGTTTGAAACTTGCCTCCAAAGCGGACAGTTCATGTGTAATAATTTAGCTTTTACATTTATTATTAACTGGCTCCGTTTAGCCTCTCACTCCTCCCCTTTTTGGTTCATATCTCTGTGTGTGACGCCTTCTCTTTGGGTAGGCTGTGTGAATAACCTTCATTTTCCACATTTAATTGAATAGTTGTCATGGAAATCCCCTCACCTTTCTGCAGGAAAAAAGACACTTAAGAAGAAACGCCAGTCGTGAGCTCTGCCGCTTCTTGATAACAACAGTCATATTTATGCTTCCTTTGGCTCCATCTGTACCATACATTTAAAGCAATATCATACTACTTTAAACAGCCATGGCTCCACCTGCAAGAACGCCGGGAACTGTAGTTTGCTAAGGGCGCTGAGACTTGTTAGAATACTTAAACTCCCCTAGGAATTCCCGGATTGGCTTAATGATAAATCCCTCTTCCCTATGACAACTGAAAGTTAAAAACTTAAAAATGAACAATTAACAAAATTGAAGAACCCCTTTTGTATATAGTGGTACCAGTTGATAAAACATCAGCTCAGAACAGGACAATAAAGCAAAGTTGCCCCCACCAATGACAATGAATTGTTTAAATAATAATAATAATAATAATAATAATAATAATAATAATAATATTTTTTTTTATTTATACCCTGCCCTCCCCGGCCAGAGCCGGGCTTGGGGCAGCTAACACCAATAAAATCACAGTAAAAAAAAACAACAACAAATATGATAAGGGGGAAAGAAAACCAATTTAAACCAATTTAAAATACAGCCTCATTTTAAAAGTAGCCGATAAATCAAGACCATAAGGGGAGGGAAACATAAGGGTCAGACTGAGTCCAAACCAAAGGCCAGGTGGAACAGCTCTGTCATGCAGGCCCTGCGGAAAGATGTCAGGTCCCGCAGGGCCCTAGTCTCTTGTGACAGAGCGTTCCACCAAGTCGGGACCAGTACTGAAAAGGCCCTGGCCCTAGTTGAGACCAATCTAACCACCTCGCGACTTGGGACCTCCAAAGTGTTATCATTTGTGGACCTTAAGGTCCTCCGCGGGGCATATCAGGAGAGGCGGTCCCGTAGGTACGTGGGTCCTAGGCCGCATAGCTGCAATCAATTGGAGGAAATTGACATAATTATTAGAACAACCAAGGTAATATCAGGGAAAAACCAATGGATTCAAGTTACAAGAAAGGAGATCCCACCTAAACATCAGGAAGAACTTTCTAACAGTAAGTGCTGTTTGACAGTGGAACAGTCTCCTTTGGGAGGTTATGGACTCTCCTTCCTTGGAGATTTTTAAGCGGAGGTTGGGTGGCCATCTGTCATGGCTGCCTTAGTTGAGATTCCTGCATTGCAGGGGCTTGGACCAAATGACATTTGGAGTACCTTCCAACTTTATGATTCTATATTTATACTGTATCTGTTGGCTCTATTGCAGAAAGGATAGATCAACTGTGCAGATTTCCAGTACAAACAATGGAGATCCATAGAGCAATGGCTTTATGAAGTTTTGTATTATCTTTTATCTGGCTTGACACTTCTGTGTTCCAATAGATGAGGTGATCTCTTATCAGGCCTTATCTGCATTATCATACCACTTCAAAGAGTCATGACTTCTTCTAAAGAATTACAGTGGTACCTCTGGTTAAGAACTTAATTCGTTCTGGAGTTCTGTACTTAACATGAAACTCTTCTTAACCTGAAGCACCATTTTAGCTAATGGGGCCTCCCGCTGCCACTGCACAATTTCTCTTTCATCCTGAAGCAAAGTTCTTAACCCGAGGTACTATTTCTGGGTTAGCGGAGCCTGTAACCTGAAGCGTCTGTAATCTGAAGCGTCTGTAACCCGAGGTACTACTGTATGGGAAACGTAGTTTGCTAAGGGTGCTAAGAGTTGTTGTGTGGCTGCTAGTCTGCCCATTGAGCTACAGTTCCCAGAGTTCCCTGGGAAGAGGGATTGACTCATAGCTGTCAATCGTCCCTTATTTGGCGGGAAACTCCCTTATCCCAGCGCCGTTTCCCGCACTTGTCCCGGATTGATGATGTCCCAGTTTTCTGTCAATCCTACCAATGTATGTAACTCTTTACAATAGCTTTTCAACTAAATTATAAACTTTCCCCATTCTTTATTAAAGAGGTCCTCTTCTCGGTTTCTAATTCTGCCTGTAAGCTTTGCCGTCTCAACGTCGTTCATCAGTTTTGTCTGCCCCTCTTCTTTGGTCGGAGTTGTAGACCCTTAGGATCATCTAGTCCAACCCCCTGCAAAACATAGTCAGTGGAAGCAAAAGCAGCATGGCTCCATCAGTGGCAGATTTATGTATCAGCTAAGCAAAATCCCTTATTTTGGCTGCTGATCCCTTATTTTCAAGGCTGCTGGTCCCTTATTTTCAAATCTGTAAATTGACAGCTATGGATTGACTGTTAAGCTACTCTGAGAATTGTAGTTCTGTGAGAGGAACAGGGGATCTCCTAACGAAGCTTGGCACGCATCACAAACTAAACTCCCCAGGATTTTTTTGAGGGAAGCCAGGACAGTGGTATAACAGTGCTTTAAATGTACAATGCGGAAGAAGCCATAGAGGAGATGACTTCATGGCCCAGTTAAGTGTAATGTTTCTAAGGGAGCGTAAGGAAGTTGTTGGGGGTAATATTCAGAGAAGCAGCCACTTCTTTTTAAAATAGGAACTTACTTTTGCTAAGTGCTGCAGTTGGATTCTAGCAGTTTGCTTCCAGTTGTTTGCTTTTCTTTTTGCTATTGTTAAAAGCCTCGAATTACCCAGGAACCATTCTGAAGGTAATAATGGGTCTCCACAGAAAGCCCATGGAGGGCTAATCCTGCCAGGCCTGCGCTCTCTCACGCAGGTAAAGTGCTGCTGGTGCGTCGCACAGCACTCAGGTAATGAGTCCGATTTAATGCTGCCCGTAAAGGATGGAGACAGCTGCAGAGCAGAAACTGGCAATAATCAACCTAGTGAAGGAGATAGATTTCAAATCCTCTTGGCAGGACACAGAGTCAAATCGGGATTTGATCTGAAGAGGTTCACTTCAGCTTTGTTTGGAGAAGGTTAGCTCTTGTTGTTGTTGTGTTGTTGCTATGGAGATAATGGCAACCTAGTGTTTCTGCCTCCCCTCCCTGTACCTGCCAGCTTTTTCAAACCCACATCCACAGATTTAAGGCCAAATAAGTTGTTACATGGGCGTTAAAAGAAGGAAGAAAGGCAGCTGGGAAAGGCTTCCAGTTTGTGTAGAGGAACGAGGATGGTGATGTTTAGGGGCTGTATAACTCTTTCTTCTGCCACTGTTGTAAACAAAATCTGCCCCTTTTCCCTTATGGGGTATCCAAGAGCCCGTATAGAGTCCTTACATAGGTTCCCTATTGGTAGGAGAAAATAACAGAGGCCAGCCAGAGAATATCGAGAAGCAAAGCAGCTAGTAAGCCTGATCTTTATTGAACTGTTGCAACAGGGTGCTCCCCTCACACGCAGGAAAGGAGGAGGACCCAGAACCAAGGTGTGCCTGCCCTTATATAGACATTTTAAATTCCCTGCCCTGGAGCTCAAGACCACCCCTCCATACATCATACCTACATCACAGAAAAAGTGGTCTACAACAGAAATTTGAATGTTGTTGTTTTTCCTGTCTGCCAGGTTATCTGATAATGCCTTATCTGATTGCCTTTCCTGGTAGTCTGGCCATTCCTTTGAGATGGTGATTACCCAATTCCTGAGACAATGGGACGGTTACCTCCCTCCCTCCCTCCTTGCAGAGAAAACATTTGGTCAGTTTGGGAGTCAAAATGGTTTCAGGTCAGTCTTCCTGAGCTGATCTATGTACGTGCTTGGTTGGTACATTTATTATATATATAAGACCTTAAATTTTATTATTACATCACCCAAGTCCTCTTATGGTGCTGAGCCCCGATATGTGAGGCTAACATGTGCGGAGTAGGGGGTCGCCAGTCTTTGGGGGCCAGTGGGCACATTTGAGATTTTGAGAAAGTACCCTGATCTCCAGGTGGGAAGAGATGCAACATTAGGGATGGGGCCAACATGCACCCTCTCCTACCCTTCCTTACTCTCTCCTCTAGGGATGGGTGAATTTGTCAGTTTCAGTTTGCACAAGAAGAGCCCTGATGGATCAGGCCAGCATCTCGTTCACACAGTGGCCAACCAGATGCCCACTAGACTCCCCCAATCAGGACTTCAGCGCCACAGCAGCCTTCCTTCCTGCCATTTCCAACAGCTGTCCTTCAGAAGCATAATGCCTCTTGTGCGAAAACCTGCAGCCGAATCACAAATGCATGATTGCCAAAATCACAAGCCGGGGACTGTATGATGTCATATCCTCTAAACTTTTGAGGTAGGAGGGGGAACAATAGGAAACTTAATCTTCTTCCTGTCACAGCACACTCTGCTTCTTACACACAATGGAGTAGGTTGTTCGTAAGCTCTCTTGCAGAGAGCGCACTCCATTTTGAATTGGACTATGGACCTTTGTAACTTTTAAGGATTATTGCCTGCCTGATTTGCATCGCTGCCCCTGTTGAATCCTGGCAAGTCTTTTGATGTGAGTAAACCTTATATTTTTCTTGTTAAACAATCTAAGAGTGATTTCTTTGCTAAGAGGGAATCATAGAAGGGTGAAAAGTGACCCAAATCTACCTATGCATCCTTGGATATCATAATTGTTCTAGAATGTTATAAAACATTGTCTCTAAAAGATTCTAAAGATAAGCTGCGCATGGATAGTGATTTTTTAACTCTGCTGAAATAGGTATTTGCATTCTTACAAATGTAAGACGAGGACGGCTAATTGATAAATAAAATATCCCCTCTTACTCATCTTAAAACCATCCAACTCCTCTGACAGTGGAGTTAGAAAAATGAATTCAGAGATGGGCTATACGATCCAGCACGCGACCCTGAATCGTACTGTATTATTAAAGACATCCTTTGGCTTAAAATGTAAAGCAAGGTGCATGTGACTACAAAGTAGGAGTTTGATAAGACCAAAACCGTGTAAAGTGCCTGTGAGTGCTGCAGAGTGATACAGGTTTAATTCTTAACTTTAGGAAGAGCACAACCAATTTGCAATGCACATTGGCCAATTTAATGGATGTGAAATTGCACATCGTGTATCCTGCCCTTTGACTGGAATCCTTGAATGGACTGACAAATGCAATGGGGTACATTAAAAGCCATATGCTTGTGTGGAAGTGTGGCACCAGGAAGTCAGTTTGGAGTGAGGGCAGCACTTCTTGCCCTCACTTGGGTTTGGCATCATGATGCCATTGTGTAACCAAGATGGGTTACACAAGAAAAAGAAAATTGAGTGCCAAACAGAAGTGAAGTGGTATGACCAGCAAAAAATAGTGAGGATCTTGAGAGATATTGAGAGCCCCCTTTTGTGTGTAGTGAAAATAGTTTCCAACAAAAGTCCAAGGCACCTTTAAATCTCTCTCTCTTTTCCTGCTAGTTGAGACTTCCCTCCTTTCAATACACCTAGAGTATAGGGTGAGGTGAGATGTTGCACTAGGTAACTGATTAAGGATCAGGCTTGTCAGTTGATTGGGACTGCTTTGATCGGCTGACAGGTGTGCTCGAAATGGATCCTAACTGGCCCATAATCATGTCCTCTTCGCATTGACAATGCCTTCAATTAAACCTGCAAAGGAGCCTATTTGCATGCAATCTGAGTGCCACAGGGCACATCCTTGCTCTCTGGCAGAGAAATGGCAAAAAAATTCTTGTGTTGGTAGTGCATCAGAAAGTCTCAGAGAAGTTTCCCTGAGGGTAACTAAAAGCACTTGGGATGTTGGCAGCTGCTGCAGAATAGCTTGGGGCCATGCTCCAGAGAGCTTTAAATGTAACTGATTACAATTCACCTCCTTTCAGACCAACTTGAGGGAAGCTGGAATAATCTGATGGTAAAAGAGGAGGAGTGCCTGGTGTGCTCTGGTCCATGGGGTCATGAAGAGTCGGACACGACTAAACGACAAAACAAACAACAAAAAGAGGGGGGAAGGCTGGTTATCTTTTGCTCATGTGTACAGTCATACCTCGGGTTGAATATGCTTCAGGTTGAGCGTTTTCAGGTTACACTCTGCGGCGACCCAGTAGTACAGGAATGCGTTACTTCCGGGTTTCACCGCTCATGCATGCACAGACAATCAAAATGACGTCACACACATGCACGGAAGCGGTGAAACGCGACCTGTGCATGTGTAGACATGCCGTCGTGTCTTACGTTCTACTCAGGATGTGAACGGGGCTCCAGAACGGATCCCGTTTGCATCCAGAGGTACCATTGTATTGAATGTTATCCCTGCCACGCCCTACTCTCTTGTTTTCAGACATCACGAAAATGTAGATTGCAAGCTCCTTGAGGCAGGGATCTTCCATTTTTTAAAGGTGCTGTTTGTATTACAGTGCAAATGCAAAACACACACACACACACACACACACACACACACACACACACACAACTCTGTAATGCCCTGTGATATTTTGTATGGTGTGGTACCTTGAGTAAAGTTCCCCCAGATGAGCTAAGTGATTTTTGCAAGACTATACAGGGACTCCTTTGAGTCCCAAGGCATTCCATGGCAGGCTGAGATGAATGAGAAGGGGGAAGAAGATGATGGCATGGGGGAAACAGAAGAAGAAGAAGAAGAAGAAGAAGAAGAAGAAGAAGAAGAAGAAGAAGAGTTTGGATTTGATATCCCATTTTATCACTATCCAAAGGAGTCTCAAATCGGCTAACATTCTCCTTTCCCTTCCTCCCCCACAACAAATACTCTGTGAGGTGAGTGGGGCTGAGAGACTTCAGAGAAGTGTGACTGGCCCAAGGTCACCCAGCAGCTGCATGTGGAGGAGGAGACGCGAACCCGGTTCCCCAGATTACGAGTCTACCGCTCTTCCTCCCCTTTCAGGATTCCCTTGCTCCAGCTGGAGAAGCCGAACTTCCAGCTCCCCTTTATTCTCCCAGGGAGAAGAGTACAGCAAAGGAATCTGGGGAGGGCACCAACCAACTTCTGAGGAGAACTAGCTATGGAAGGGGAATTCAAAGCACCGTTGTCCAGGACCCAGTGGTGCTTCCATCACTGGGAAAACACCCATCAGACCTGACTCAGTGAGCTCCTGTGTCACCAGGCATGGGAGTCTCATGAGCAAGCATGCCTTGTCCATCTTTAAATGCTTGGAGGGTGGGCCTGCCAACCTGTTGGGGGCAACTCCGTTGCTTCCATGCTTTGCTGAACATATTGCCCTGATTTTGGACTTGTTCAGCTTGGAGCCCTGCTTCTCACCTGGCTGCCCTTGCCTTTCCCGTCATCTAATCTGAGTGTAGCAGCTGCCGGGGACCCATCACCTGTTGCTGAGTCCTGTATCTCTTTTCTGCCTCAGTGAAGCTGTCTTCCTTACTCTAAAGCGGTGGTTCTGAAAGGGTGTGGCAGGAATGGATGGCAAGTGTGGCAGGAGGATTCAAGGACAATCAAAGAAACATTTAAACATTTCAGTATAGTATGGTATCAATTTTTATTTTTTATTTTAATTTGCAGAATATGGCTAGTCAATACAGTGGTGCCTCGCAAGACGAATGCCTCGCAAGACGGAAAACTCGCAAGACGAAAGGGTTTTCCATTTTTGAGTTGCTTCGCAAGACGATTTTCCCTATGGGCTTGCTTCGCAAGACGGAAACCTCTTGCAAGTTTGTTTCCTTTTCTTAAAACCGTTAATACAGTTGCGACTTGACTTCGAGGAGCAACTCATAGCACGCGGTGTGCGTCTCCGTAGGGGCAAGAACGCGTGAAGGCGGGTTCTGAGGGAGAGGGAGCTTTGTTTCGGCGAAAAATAGCAAGGCGCGCACACTTCCCTCCCCACAACTCCCAGTTAGGGAGGCCAGGCTCCGGGGCTCTTCGGACGGGGCTCCTTCCTTCTCCCCCCCCCCCAGCGCCCCGGCGGTGACAAGAGCGCCTGCCCGGGCGCTTCCAACCCCGCGACGTCTACGGCTGCGGCAAGTTTGCCTCTCAGTGTGTGTGCGCGCGAGTGTGTGTTCTCCTCGCCCCGCTCGAGTTAGTCCCGGCGCAGCGCAGGCAGCAGGTGAGTCGCCCTTTGGCAGCGTGGAAGGCGCCGGGCCAGGCAAGGTCAGCTCGGGAGCCACCGGGGACGCGCCCCCACGCTCCTCTCCAACGGGCTGGATGCACCCCTCTCCGCTCGCGCGCTTCTGGCTGGCTGGCCGGCTGCAGCAGCAACAGGGGCAATAGGCATCCACCGTCGCCGACGCTCCCTCCCTCCCTCCTGCCCGCGGCGGGCGGCTGGCTGGCTGGCGCTCTCGCTTTCTTTCGGGCTGCTGCTGCAGAAGGGATTTTGCACCAGACAACTTTTAGGCCAGTAGGAGTTTTGACTACCACGGCGACAGCAGCAGCAGCAGCAAGACGGCGCCGACTGTAGTGCAAAGGGTCGGAGCAAGGCGAGCCGAACTGATCCCGGGGGCTCAGGCAGCAACCTCTGCCCTGCCTCCCCCCCACGCCCCGCGCCCGCCTCTCCCTCCCTCCCAAGCACCCCCCTTTTTTGAGGTTTTTGAAGACTTTTGAAGCTTTTCCAAAACTTTCCCGACACCGTGCTTCGCAAGACGAAAAAAATCGCAAGACGAAAAAACTCATGGAACGAATTAATTTCGTCTTGCGAGGCACCGCTGTAGCATTGTCTATTCTTCTGCTGTTCTCCACAACAGATTGTTTCAGCTCTGGCAAATATGAAAGTTCAGAAAAGAAAAAGGCTTTTGTTTGTGTCAGATTAGACCTAATATAAATGAGATTACTCAGCAAAGGCAGGCTCACAACTCTCATTGTATATAGACTTAAAGTACATATGTAAGAGGCTTGTTTATAATAATATTTTGGGAATGATCCATGTTCTTGTGTAGCTGCAATGTTTTATGCTTTTTTTGGGATTCCCCGCAATCATATTATAAAGTGCAGGCAATCCTTGTTTTGTGCGTGGGTTATGTTCCAGACCCCTGTGGGCATCGGTGGAGTGCGCATAAGCCCACTCTGGCCTGTTCTGACCCCGTTCTACCCCTTCTCATGATGTCTTCACGACAATTTGGGGCTACATCCGGGTTTGGTGCCATGCGTGTGTGATCGCATGTCATTCCGATGCACCAAAATCAGTTGCCTGTAGTTTTGTTCTATGTTATAAATCAAGCACTGCTAAGAATTGTTTCATTTCGTGTTTTGGTGTTTTTCTTATCAATAAAAAACTTGATGTGGTGCAAGCAAACTTTATTCTGAAAGTGTGGTCCACAGGGAAAAAACTGAGAACCACTGCACAAAAGAGAGAGAACCTGTTGTCGTGGGCTGGATGGGAGCCACGACTGGGGCCGGTCATCTTGTTCTGAGTTGTTCAGGGCTTTATTTGTTATTAAGAAGACCTTGGACGTGGTCTGGTCTGTGAACCAAGACCTTCCTGTGGAGCCCCTTCCTTCCACAATGTGTGGGAGACATTTCCAGGCGTTGCCTAGAAATGATTACATTGCAAACATTAGAGGGACCCCTGACCATTAGGTCCAGTTGTGGCCGACTTTGGTGTTGTGGCGCTCATCTCATTTTACTGGCCAAGGGAGCCGGCGTACAGCTTCCGGGTCATGTGGCCAGCATGATTAAGCCGCTTCTGTCCAACTAGAGCAGCGCACGGAAATGCCGTTTACCTTCCCGCCAGAGTGGTACCTATTTATCTACTTGCACTTTTGACGTGTTTTCGAACTGCTAGGTTGGCAGGAGCAGGGATCGAGCAACGGGAGCTCACCCCGTCGCGGGGATTCGAACCACCGACCTTCTGATCAGCAAGTCCTAGGCTCTGTGGTTTAACCCACAGCGCCACCCACGTCCCATTGCGAACATTAGAAACCACTTTAAAAAAAATATGTTGGCCGGCTGGATGTATTAGATTTAATAAATTGGAGAGCTACTTTTACATTGTCCTAAGGAGGCATTTTCAGCAAAGGAGAAAAACATGGATCTTACAACTTGGCTTTGAGAAGTCATTTTTTTCTTTGCCTTCAGCTTCTGCATCAGGTGTTCCTAGCCTGGATTTTCTCTATGAACTTGGGAGCGAATGGCCAGACCTTAGTCGACAGGCTTGTCTCTTCTGCCTGAGCTGCGAGGATATTGGTGGCCATGTCCTTGTCCTTCAAAGTGGCTTGATGACAGCCAATCAAGTCCCGTGTTATGACTGGGGGTCACTGCCAAGGTCAAAGCAGCACACCTGTGGTCTTGCTTTAGCAGTTTTGATTGACAGGTTTCCAGTCCTTTGTTTCGTTTGCCCTTCTGTGTTTGAGCCCCTGTCTCGCACATCTGTCGCTGAAGGCTGTGTTTGGAGAAAGAGGGTTTTCTTCTTCTTCCCTTTTTGGAAGAGAGAAAGAGGATTCATTTGTACACTTGTGCAGATAAATATTTGCTCCTGGGTGTTTGTCTAAAATTCCCTGGAGATGGTGTGGAAAATGCATTTTCAATGGATGCAGTCATCTCTTTCTTCTTTTCTACCACCACTAATGTGTTTGCACATGCATGGACACACATGCCTTTCTTCTTATTCTTTTAGAAGTGTGAACAGGCCTCTGAACATTTCCAAACTGGTAGCTAGAAGGTCCTCCTCCACACAGCAGATAGTAAAACTATGGCATTTGCTCCCACTAGACGTATCAGTGGCCACCAGCTTGGATATTTAAGGCATGGTGATGTTTCTTGTTGGTCACTCAATTTGAGGGAAACTGAATTGGGGAAGGACATGAGATTTAGGCTAATTTCCTGGGGGTAATTAAAAATGACTATCTAGAGATGATTTGGAGTGGGGTATTGTGTGTGCGGGAATGCGGGTGGCGCTGTGGGTTAAACCACAGACCCTAGGACTTGCCGATCAGAAGGTCGGTGGTTTGAATCCCCATGATGAGGTGAGCTCCCGTTGCTCGGTCCCTGCTCCTGCCAACCTAGCAGTTCGAAAGCACATCAAAGTGCAAGTAGATAAATAGGTACCACTCCGGCGGGAAAGTAAACAGCGTTTCCGTGCGCTGCTCTGGTTGGCCAGAAGCGGCTTAGTCATGCTGGCCACATGACCCAGAAGCTGTAAGCCGGCTCCCTCGGCCAATAAAGCTAGATGAGCACCGCAACCCCAGAGTCGGCCATGACTGGACCCAGTGCTCAGGGGTCCCTTTACCTTTACCTTTATTGTGTGTGCGGGGAATTGAAAGGGAACTGAACTGATTTGGATCATACGTAAATCATGATTTAAAGCAGAAAACAAATGAAAGAGGTACTTATTTGCACAGTGTATAGTTAAACTTGTTCGCATAAAAGGCAGTGATAGTCACCAGCTTAGTTGGCTTTAGAAGAGGATTAGGCAAGCTCATATAATACAGTGGCACCTTAGGTTACAAACGCTTTGGGTTACAAACGCTTCAAGTTACAGACTCCGCTAACCTGGAAGTAGTATGTCGGGTTAAGAACTTTACCTCAGGATGAGAACAGAAATTGTGTGGCAGCAGCGCAGCGGCAGCAGGAGGCCCCATTAGCTAAAGTGGTACTTCAGGTTAAGAACAGCTTCAGGTTAAGAACGGACCTCCGGAACGAATTAAGTTCTTAACCTGAGGTACCACTGTATAAGGCTATGCTCTACCTCCATTCCTTTGGTACTCAGGGGTAGACTGCCGCTGCACATGGATATCCCATTTTGTTACAACTCCCTGGAGCCCCATAAAACATGACCAATGATCAGAGATGATGGGAGATGATGGGAGCAACACCTGGAGGGCCAAAGGTTCCTCACTCCTGACTTAAGTCATCTCCTCCCCCATCTAAAAATCCCCACATCCTTTTGCCTTTCTTTTCACAAGAAGGTGCCCCCATTCCCTTGATCCTTTTATACTTTCCCTGCGAATGTCTTGTTTCGTGACGAGAACGGTGCCCAGTCTTCTAAATGCAGCAGTACCATAAAATTACATAAAGCAGGCTGTGGAATATGTGATTCCCCGGATGTTTCTGGACTCCAGTTCCCATCCCTGACTCTCTCGCTCTCTCTCTGTGTATGTATGCATGATTTATGCACACACACACATATGTATATGTATATGTATATGTATATGTATATGTATATGTATATGTATGTGTGTATGTGTATATGTATGTGTGTATGTGTATATGTATATGTATGTATATATGTATATATGTATATATATACATAGATCATATATGCATGAAAAAGACAGCCCTTTCCCCCAAGGAGCTTACATTTGGGAAATGCAACATGTGTCAAAGGGGGAAAAAAGCGTATGAGAGTAGCAAGTTCAGATATGCTGTTCCCTGCTCAGTGACCCTAACAAGACAGGGTTTCTTCTTGCCAAACCAGAGGGGTGGGGGGTGGGGACTCTTTTAAAGAAATCTAAAAATGAACAGATGGCAGAAGAAGGGTGGTCCAGATGCAGTGAGGTATGAAAAGCTTGAAGACCTTTGGCTGCTTTGACCTCAGTCAGATAGAAATTCTGACAGCCATGTACTCCACAGAGAAGAAGCTGCTTTCTGTAACCAAGGGTGGGCTGAGGGCATCAGCTTGGCAGGAAGCACGAGCTGTTGGAACGTGGCAGGCCCTTTCGCATAGTTACAGCCCCACACACCTGAGGGTGGAGAAACCATGCGTGGCCTCTCAGTCCTTTGTATATGGCCCTTGAGACTCTCCCTAGGTGACAGCCTTCCTTGCCAGATTTGCTCCCTACGGTCTTCAAGTGCCCTTGCCTGGCTGGAATGTGTCCTTGGAAAAGTGACGATGCTGCTTGTTTCCCTGGTTGGAAAAATGTGGGTGGGTGTCAGAAATGTTTTGCTTGGGTGGATTACAGATGACTGCACAAAGGTGACTCGCACCCACTTTTGCCCCTGGCCCCGCCCACCACTGGCATGCAGCCCTTGTGGGGTTACCTATTAGGGAACATAGCCCTCAGGCTGAAGAAGGCTCCTCATGCTTGTTGGAGTGAGCCCCATTTAAATCCATTGAATCCCTGTCACTGAAGTGCTCCTCGCTGCTAGGGAGGGGCCTAAGTGCTAGGATGGACAGTGAAGTGACTGTGTTGACTCTGCCGCAATACCAAGTGTGGGGGTTGCAGCCAAATCGGAAATGCATGTTTTGCTAGATAAGCACAGGCCGAGTACACAGAGACTTCTTGAATTTCCTAGAGAGGACCTTTTGTGTACTGTCACTTCTTTTTCCTCCTCTGGGCAAGAACTCTGTAACAAAGGGGAAAAATACTTTATACTTCCTTCTGTCTGTGAGGAGACACTCTCTTTCCACCATGCCTCCAAGCTGACCAGATGTGCATGGCTAAAGCTCTTGCTTTCAACCATGTTAGCTAAGTCTACCAGCTTTTATTTTACCGTAGCTTAGTATTTTTCTGCATATTACTTTTGCTGTATATGCTGTCTGCATTGAAATGTAAGTAAAACCTTTTTTCATTTGTTTTACTAAAAACATGTGGCTTATTCTCTGCAATGGAGACGAAGAAGGGGAAGTTCAGCAGACCACAAAAGGGATAGAAAGATGTAATTGCCTAATTCCTAAGCTGCAAAACTTACAAGTTTTATTTTTGCTAAAAAGGCTTCACAGCCAGAATACTTATATATTTTCCCCACACATACCAGAAAGGAGGTTTAGATCTAAATCTGCAGATTTAATCCTCAATCCATCTCCCACACCATGGACTTGGTGACAGTCTGATGGGTGCAAGCAGACCCAACTTATCTGCAGAATTGCCCACTTGCAAGCCCAGCTCTGTGGCTTGGGAAGACAACAATGAAAATGACCGTGCCTGTTCCACTCTTTGAAAGGGGAGGTCAGGGGAGCAAGCATTGGGACCATGTCTTAGCTTACGATTAATCACATATCCCAGAGCTGTGCTATGAATTGTAGACTATGTAACCTGATCTGTGAGGGGGCCCTATGGTGGATTCTGGAACAAAGCCTTTCACAACTGTTGGATAGATTTAGATGAGTAGGAGAGGATGTTTTATTTAGTAATTATTCTTCCTCTTTTTCTCACTTGTGTAAGTATGCAAATACTATTTCAGCAGAGGTAAAAAAATCACCCTCCATGAACAACTTATCTTTAGAAGCTTTTCGGACAAAGTTGCATAATCTTCTAGAACAATTATGATATCCACGGTTGCTTAGTCTGACTTGTATCATCTCATTTTTAATGTTTCACTTTTAACAAACAAATCACTGTCAGGCTGTTTAAGTAAACAAGAAAATATAAGGTTTACTCACATCAAAATCTTGCCAGGATTCAACAAATACAGTGATGAAAATCAGTCAGGCAATAATTCTTAAACGTTAAAAAGTCCATCGTCCAGAATGGAGTGTGTTCTCTGGAGGAGAGCTTACAGACACCCTACCCCATTGTAGGTCAGAAGAAGAGTGTGCTGTGACAGGAAGAAGAAGAGTGAATTTCTATTATTCCTCCTCCCACCAGAAAAAATTAAAGAATATGACATCATAGTGTTCTGTTTATGACTCTATAGCAATCATGCTTTTGTGATTTGGCTGCAGATCTTCCCACAAGAACAGAACAACTGAGCTGAAAGTTTCAATGCTGAGTCTAGGAGTGAGAGCCAGGACAAATGGGGCTGCAAAAGTTAGGCTCCACGAGGAGCAGGGACTTGTATGATATTGCTCAAGCTGTAACCAAGACTTAAATTTTTTAGCTATGTTTTATTACATTGATATAGTGCTTTCCTTTCATCATGGAACCTATGGTGGAGTGTCCATATCCCATTATGCAGGTGAGCACTCTGGCAAAGCCAGAATGCCTCCTGAAGCCTATGGGAGGAATTGGCTAGGACAGGGATGTCTAACTGGTCGTCCACGATCGACAGGTCGATCCCCAGGTGCTAGCGGCCGATCACGGTCTCTTTTTTCTCCGTGGGGGAAAAAGAACATCCGGCCCCACCTCCTCGCTCCGTCCTTCATTGGCGCACGATCGCAAAAATGGAAGACGGAGGGCCCTGCAGGATTTAACTTCCTTCTGCAGGACCTGTAAGACAGAGCTATTCCGCCTGGCTTTCAATTTGAACTTAGCCTGATCTTTTATTCCCCTTCCTTCCCTCCCCCTCCCCTTTTTATGAAGATTACCCGCTCTGGGATCCCACAGCTAATTCTCCCCTGGTTTCTTTGCTGGCCCAAATAGGACTAATTTAGCCAGCTAGCCCTGGTGATCATCTAATGTTTATAGGATGGATTTCCCCCTAAATTGATTTCTGAATTCTGAATTTATTGTTATTCATGTTTTATACTGTATTCTATGCTGTTTTGTTGTTGCATCAATTAAGTGTTTTAAATTTGTTGTTAGCCACCCTGAGCCCAGTTTTCTGAACCGGGAAGGGCGGGGTATAAAAAATAAATAAATTATTTATTTGTTTGCTGAGTGATCATTTGGTGAGTGACTTTTGCCTCCCCCTCCCAAAAAAGCTCCACAACTTTGACCTCCCCCCTAAAAAATGCTCAACAACCTGGCTGTCCCCCCCCCCAAAGGATAGATCATTGCCAGTTTCTTCTTCTGGGAGTAGATCACAGTCTCTTGGGAGTTGGACGCCCCTGGGCTAGGAGACTTTGGGAGTCAGGAAATGGTGGCAAAGCTACTTCTTGGGAGTAGTGAATGGAGCTATCGCTGTCTCATGAGGCTCCCCTGTTGGGGGTCTTTAGCAGAGTGATCTTCGCTGACTCCAGTTGCCCCCAGGACCCTGAAAATACAACCCCATACATCAAAAGAGGGGTCCAAAGGCTGGGATCCTGAATACAGATAGAAAGTAGTAGTTTTATTCTGTTTATTTTATTTTAGGTGGAACACAGTGGATGTAGGTTTCAAAGATGTGCTCTTGGGATGCCTGATTTCAGTTGCTCAGATACAAGAAGATAGTGAGAGTTTTATGTATTTATTGTTACATTTAAAACTCACCTGGAGTTAGCAAAACTGACGGATTTAATAAGGCATAAGTCAAAAATTTTAATTCAGAAACAATGGAAATGTTTAAATGATTATTTATACAAGCAGGGCTCAAATACGAAAGTTTGGCTGTGTCTAGACTAACCTTGTGAAGAATACAGAGAACATAAAGATTTGATTGATTATGAAAGAATCTAAGGGAAATTACTGAAGAACAGATTTAAATGCGAGCAAGACAACTAAGAGACTTGTGGTGAATGCAGTGAAAGTCTTTTATAATATTTTAGCTAAGATTTTTATATTGCAGTAGTTGAAGCAAGAATTTGGTAATATCTCTTATTTTTCCTTTTCTTTTTTATTAGTTTTCATTTTGGAAAATATGTGTTTACAGTGTTATGTATTGTTCTTTGTTTCTCTTTGCTTAATTTCTATTTCTTGAAAAATTTAATAAAAATAAATAAATCTCACCTTTCCTCCAAGCAGCTCAATGTGTCATGCATGGTTCTCCCCTCTTCCCATTTTATCCCTGCAATCATCTTGCAAGGTGGGCTAGGCTGAGAGAGAGCAAGGCCACCAAGGGAGCTTCACGGCCAAGTGGAAGATTTGAACCTTGGTCTCTCAGCTCCTAGTCCAGCACTCTAACCACTTCCTGTGCCTTGTACTTTGCAGAAGAATAAATGGGCAAGCTGCAGACTGATTTTCGTCCTCCTTACTGAGACTGCATTCCGTGTGTTATTTCCATGGGATTAGAGTATCTGACCTTGTTAGAAACCTTAAAAAATCCCAGCTTCCACTGTCTGCTAGCGCCTGGGTTGCTAGGGGATTTATATATGTAAGAAAAACACTGTCAGTAAACTCTGGAATTGAGTCCTCCCACAGTAATATTTGACTGCATCCCTGTGAAAAGTAGATTCTATGCATGGTTTGTGGCTCTCTTAACGGTGTTAGTGTAACACCAATTATAAATGTTAATGCAACATTCTCTTCTGTACCAAATTGTTCATAAGGTGTGCATTTTTTTGGGGGGGGGAGGGGGGAATCCATGGAAACATTGAATTTTTTTTATATATTGCACGCTGAGGAAAGATATGATAAAATCAATATGTTTTCTCTTCTCGCCCTGCACATCACTTTTTCTGCAAATTTATGCACTGAAGCAATTACCAGGGATTGATGTGGCTTGGCGCTCCTTGCATTGATTTCGAAGAATCCCGTGTGCTGTGCTGTAGCTTTTCAGAAAGTCTGATCCTCAAAAGATTCACCTAATCCTTAAAATATTCCCCTGCTCCACCATTAGTGAGAGCAAAGGTTCTCACCTGCCCTGCTGGCAGAGTCTGAATTACCATTAAGGGACAGCAAGTGGTCAATTACTTAGTCCAGCATTTCCCAACCTTGGGCCCCCAGCTGTTTTTGGACTACAACTCCCATAATCCTCAGCTAGCAAGGCCAGTGGTCAGGGATGATGGGAATTGTAGTTCGAAAACAGCTGGAGGCCCAAGGTTGGGAAACACTGACTTAGTCTATAGGCCAGGCTTCCTCAACCTCGGCCCTCCAGATGTTTTTGGCCTACAACTCCCATGATCCCTAGCTAGCAGGACCAGTGGTCAGGGATGATGGGAATTGTAGTCTCAAAACATCTGCAGGGCCGAGGTTGAGGTAGCCTGCTATTGACCTACAAGAGCACCTTCCCCACTATCGGTCACCTTGACCTTGTTTGGGGTGCTGCCACTGGGGGCTGACCAGTTGCTGTAGGACCCCCCTGATGGGGCATTTCCAGTGGTGGTTCCCCATTTCTGGAATGCCCACCCCCATGATGTGTATCTGTCTCCCTCATTATTGACTTTCTTTTGTTTTTTTGAAAATATGTTTCACCCAGGCATTTGATGGCTCAAATACACTGTTCCAGGCAACTCTGAGATCACTGGTGGGGAGAATATTTTAAAGTGTTTTTGGAATGTTTTTAACTGCTTTTAGAATGACTTTTAATTTTTTATTGATGCATTTGCTGCTGTGGAGGAAGGGTGGAGTAGAAATTGATTAATTGATTGATTTGCTGCTATGAATATTTTATATGGGTCCCCCCTCCCCGGCCACCCAATTTCTCAGCCATCTCTTTTCCCAATCTAGCGACCCTCACTGGTTGCTCCAGAGCAATCGCCCCCCCCCCCGGTTCTTCCCAGATTGCCTGCTTGTTTCAATTGATGGAGGTGCCTGCGGATAAACAACACACTGTATATACCGTATTTTTCAGTGTATAAGACTCCCGCATGTATAAGACGCCCCCTATTTTGAGGGACTCCAAATTAAGAAAACACCCCCTCAGCACTATCCGTGTATAAGACGAGCCCCAATTTCAAACCTAATTTTTTGTTTAAAAAAACCTAGTCTCATACATGGAAAAATACGGTAATTCCAAACAATACCATATTAAATGATGGAAGATTCCTAATGCAGAGGTCGTCAAACTAAGGCCCACGGGCCGGATACGGCCCACCGGGCTCATTAATCCGGCCTGCGAACCTTGCAGACCCTGCCACCCGCTCGGTCAGTCCCCGCGCTAAACAGGTCTCGCCGCACGGAGACTGACTTCTGCAACGTGGCACAGCTTCGGATCAAAAGCCACGGATGCCTCTGGGCAGGCAGCGACGCTGGCAGGAAGCTCCTGCAGCCAATCAGAAGCCGCAGATGCCTTTGGGTACCGTCCCTTCCTTCCCACTGAGGTGGCCGAGTAGGAGGAAGCGGCAGCAGCGTGAGGGCTGCCTCTGCCACCCAGGCTAGTGGCATGGCCTCTGTGCCCCACCGAGACAGAGGATGCCGACGCTGCCGAAGACGACGCAGCGTGGGCAGCTGCGGCGTGAATGGCATAGGCGGGGAGGCCTTTTGGGAGGGGGGTTTTTTCGGGAGGCGGTGGGTCTGGCCCCCTACAAGGTCTGAGGGACAGTGGACCTGCCCCCTTCTGAAAAAGTTTGCTGACCCCTGTTCCTAATGCATTCATTTCCTTTTGGATTCCAGTAATCTGGAATACCCAAATCTAGGCAGAAGTTTTAAATTAGGGATAGGTAAATCAGTCTGCCTTTAGTCTGTTTTGGATTTGCTCTCCCCCCCCCCCAGTGCAGTCTATCCAACACAGGGGCGTAGTAAGGGTGGGGCAGTGGGGGTGGTCTGCCCCAGGTGTCATCTCTGAAGGGGTGTGTGACAAAATCCTGGCCGGGCATGATCACAGCCATGCCGGATCGCACCCCCGGCTGCGCTGCTGTGCCGGATCGCACCCCCTGGGTTGATCGCCCTGCCCCCCAGGGTGGATTGCCCCACCCTGGGTGCCCAGCATGTGCACCGATCCGGGTGCCCACGTGGCTAGCTCTGCCGCTGATCCAACTAAGTTTTACTCAGAGTAAATCAGGCATTGCAGGGTGTCGTACTAGATGACCCTTAGGGTCCCTTCCAACTCTGTAATTCTATGATTCTATGAGGGCAGGCCCACTCAAATGTC